TTTTTACTTCTGGATGTAAACATACGGAAAACTTCCGTATATGTATCTACGAAAGAACCCAGAATTTTGAAAGTCTGATTTGTTCCGGAGCTGCATCTACGGAATTGCTCTAACGTTAATTTGTTCTATAGATGTAGCTCCAGAACTTCCTACAACTCTAACAGCCACGGCAATGACGTCCCCTACCCATGAAAATTGATTTTTTAAGCTTTAATCGTTCGTTTCAGTCGACAAACAATACCTACATCGTCTCTAAACTATATTTCTAAAACTATCTAATGATTTTTACCCCTAAAACTATATTCTAACTCGTATACGAGAAATACTCAAAAATACCTCGGAAACTCGAAAACTTACTGTTTATATCGAGCTTTGAATGATTTAGAGTGTTTAGATAGTCGAGATGAATGCTCCTTGTCGAACTTGATTGGAAACAATTAAGTTCGGTGAAAAAAAATTTGAAGATTGAGAGAGTTTGAGAGTGAAGAAGTTGAAAAATGAAGAGTGAGGAAGGAGAAAGGACTCTGACGCGAATGTATTCTGATTTGTTCCGAAACTATATAAACGAAAATATTTCATAGATGTAGCTCCGAAAAAAACCAACGTTTAATAAAAAAAGGTTGGTTTCTTTGTGATCCTTCTCTCTCTACTTAATAATATATTTCAATACCGGAATCTTTTAGTATCAAATCCATCAAACAATTACATTTGCAACTTTATGTTATTATTTTATTTCTTTATCCATATGAAGAAAAAAAAAGTATTCTAGTTAATATTTTTTTTATTAATGCATGTAATAAGTAAAATAATAATTAAATTAATTATTTTAAATTCTTTAAAATAATTGATTAAATTCAAAACATGAATTATTGGAATGTAATTTAATTAATTAACTTTGATGCTATTTTCTATTTAAAAATACTTTTATATTTTTATAATAATTAACAATTATTCTTCTTATATTTCTCTCTTCCTTATCTTAAAAAACCAATCATTTAAATTTATTTATTTTTTATCTCTTTCTCTTTTCTCATATTCCCTCCTCTCGACTGATTAGAGTATTAAAGTGACCTAATTTTTAATGTAATTCGCCTCTATAAATAAACTATTATAAGATCTTTTTTCACAAAATGACATTTAACGTCACATATTATTTATCGATTGAAAATTATATAAAAATATAAGAAGTCACAATCTATTTTATTAATAGTGTTTTAAAATATGACTGTTTCGGTCGGTCGGACAGTTAGACTATGAATCGAATATTTGAACGGTCCGATAAGATTATTGAATCATAGTTGTAATTGATGTTGTAAAAATCGATGTAATCCGATTGGTTTTTTCGTTTGATTGGTTGAATTTTTTATGTTTAGTTTTTTTAACTTAATATTTATAATTATGTTAATTATTTTTAATAACTAAATAATATTAAAATTATAAAATGAAATTTCAGACCTGTAATTTTTAAAAACTATTCTATAGTTTTACCAATTCCATCATGAATTTCTTTGACATTTAATTTGGTTAAAGAAAAGAAACTTATATTTTCTAAAATGCAATTTTCATTAAATTTATTTATTATCAATATTCTATTATAATAAATTTAAAGAATTATAAAATTAATTATACTATAGAATAATACTATAAATTAACAAAAAAAAATTTAAAAATCATGTTATCAAAAAAAGTAAAATTATATTTTTACATTATTAAAAGTCATGAAATCCAACCATTGATCTATTAGTCTAACCACTAATTCAATAATTTACCGAGTCAATGAATTTTAAAATATTGACACTACTTTTTAAATAATATATTTAAATCCCTTAAAGAAATGTATTTATAATAACACATGTATGATTAGATGGATGGTTGAATGTGTATAATTTTTTTTTTTTTTTGAGTTTTGTTAATAATTGTCATAACAGCATTGATTGAAAAATCAATTCCAAAAATTGTCTTATATTGTGATTGATGGTTAATTTAATTGTTAAATCTTTAAGCACTTGTTAATAAACTATTTTAAAAAATCATTTCTTTAATTGTTATGAGATGAGATGTAACATTATAGTCACAAAGGGTTTCTGGTGACACTTAATCCGTTGTAATAATTTCGAAGTAACAGTTGAAATCGAAATGGAAAGCATGTCTAATTATTTGCCTTTAGTTTTGCTTGGTTATAAATTTTCCCTTCACCTTAAATCACAATGATTATTGTATTTCTTTCGAGGAATCTTCAACAACTAAGAAAGCAATTGACAATTTAGTTTAATAAATAGTAAAATAAAATAAGAAACCTTGAAAAGTCCTTGCTTGCATATTAATATTAATTAAATTAACTTAAAGAAAACTGAATGAAAAAGCTTCAAGCTTGAGTTCATTTTTATTATCAAACAGAACAACGTAATAAAGAGCAGAAGCTTTTCACTCATGCTACTCTAAAAAAAGTGAAGTTAGTTGATATGGTACAAGGATGAAAGAGTGTCCATGTTCAAGGTACTGCTTTGGATGATTGCTTGACATGAATGCCGTGTAAACTTTTGCAACCTGATTCAGACCCTCTTTTTCGTCAAATGTTAATTTGATTATCTAATATATTTATTTCTCTGCACCGATAAATTTATTTAATACGATATAAATATATTTAGATAGACGAGTAAATTTAAAATTAAAAAAATAAATTAGTGTGAAAAATATAAAAAATTTCACATTTAAAAAGTTAGTAATTTGCATTATTATTGAATGGTTTTAAATTTAATATAATATAAAATATTTTTAGATATATATATATATATATATATATATATATATATATATATATATATATATATATATATATATATATATATATATATATATATATATATATATATATATATATATATATATATATATATATATATATATATATATATATATATATATATATATATATATATATATATATATATATATATATGTTAACTTATAATGGATTATTTAATTGTAAAATAAATAATCATATAAATTTAACTATATTAAATAATCATTTAAAAAAAAAGCGGTTAGATGGGAAAAAAAATCAGATATGAAAATAAAAAATTGTCTCTCAAATAAAAATAATTGTTAATTAAAATAAAATAGAAATTACTTTAACAGTGACTCGTAAAATGGAAAGTTAGTTGCATATATTGTTATTGAGTGTTATACAATTTAATATAATATAAAATTTATTTAGATACACGTGTCAATTTCAATGGAGTTTTTTATATACAATAATTAAAAAATAATTATGTAATTATTTTAAATAAATTTTGTGTTAATATTTTAATATTTTTTTGTGTTTTTCTTCATTAAATTAAAAAAAATCAATTTTATTATTTATACTTAAGAAAATAAAATAGAAAAAAGATAGAGTGAAAAAAATTAAAATGAACGTGTAAAAGTATAAAAAAAATGTGGGGGAAATTTGAAATTTGACATGTGTATCTAAATATGATTATTTAAGTTTACTTGAAATCGGAATGTCTCATACCACTTATATCACTGGAGTGAACGGCTCATTCATCTGCAATAGTCAAGACGTGACCAAATCATTTTATGGAAATGATGCAAGGACTCGAGAGACTGAATAACATTGAAAAAGAATTGAATACACAAATGTCAAAGGGGATGTCACCTTTATATTTAGTTGAAGACATTTGTTTCAATTCGTTTTAATTTCTTGTTTAACCGAACAAATAATTGTATGTAATTGTGTCTCAATATAAATGTAGTGTTATATAGTCACATTTTTTTCATATTTTATCTTTTATGTTATTTTTATATTCTCCATTACAACATTTTTGTTTTTGTAATTGGAAGAAAAAAAAAAGGTTCTGTTATATGGTTCTCGTGTGATACTAGTTCAGGAAAAATTTTAGAAATGGATTTTCGAAACAAGATATTGAAGATATATCTTTGAATTCCGAGATATATCTTTCGGAGATGTAACTACTTAGCAAATTATGAAATACATCTCCGAAATAAATTTAATCAAAAAAAAGAATGCAAGTCAAAATAATCTTTTGTTTAGTGTGTCTTAAAGTATGTCCCCGAATATGTATTTTCAAAATAAATAAAAAAAACATATTTGAAAATTTAACCTGTGCATTAGAAATATCTAATATAATATCTAGGATACAGTATGAAATTCTTACTCTTTTTTTTAGTTATAGTTTTCATTCACTTTAAACAGTGCTACTTTTTTTTCTTTCTTAGTTATAAAGTTTTCCTTCACCTTAAATCACAATGATTATTATATTTCTTTCGAGTAATCATCAACAACTAAGAAAGCAATTGATAATTTAATTTAATAGATAAAAAAAAAAATTAAAAAAAAAAAAAAAAAAAAAAAAAAAAAAAAAAAAACTTGGAAAGTCCTTGCTTGAAAAGCCTCAAGGCATGCCGTGTATAATTCAGACCATCTTGTTGGTCAAATCATAACCTGATAATTACATAAGTTGCAAATTGTGAGTAATGAAAAACAACTAGCTAATTCTCTTAAAAGAAATATTGAAGACACTAACATATTAATCTTAATTGGTCACATCCAAATACTTAGGCAATTCAGTTCAAACTTGATAGAGGTTAAGTGTTCCTATGTAGGAGAGCTTTAATTCCTCATGATTTGATCTTGCTTTGAATAACTAGGTATATGAGACAAAGAAATTTGGTACATCTTGTACTTTCTTGTGGTTTAAGATTAAAATTATGATTTTTTTTAACAAACATCGATATGTCCAAAAATAAACAAATTCCAAAACCACTATCTCATCATATAGTACAATCCACATGATTTACAGACAACCCCCAAGTTATTTCTTCGGTTGAACTCTTAAATTGGAAAGTGAACTTCCAAGTTACAATAAGAGCCCAAGGAGCATTACCGCGTGAAACATAACAGCATAACTCTCAATAATCCAATGAAATCTACACATTTTAGAATACAAAGTTAACATAACATTTAAGGAGAAAATTTGTCATGCATTCCCAAGGACACGAAGGTGATATGGTGGTCCACGACAAAAAATAGGCTCAGAAGCTGAAGTTGCCCTAGCACGAGCCCGGAGGATGTCATTCGCATCATCGATCACTGCTGCGGCGAGTAGCGTATACTCTCCTGGGACAAGGAAATGCAAGCAGAAAGAATGGTTGATTTGTTGAAGTGGAGGAATTTCAATGGTAATATCACTCAGAACGCCTGAAAAAAAATGGATTTTGGCAAGACAATACAATGTTAGAGACCCATAGAATGCTTTTCCATTACAAAAAGCAAGTGAAAATTGAATAATACCGGTCCACAGAACAGTTGATTTGGTACCATCTACACAGTTTTCCCCGGCTACATCTCTGCATGTAATGTTAAGATTCATTTTGATCATATCCTTTGTGTTATTGCGGACCACAGCTACCATTGGTGTCATTTCATGTGCAAGGACAGAACTTTTGGAAGCAGGGGATTCAGGTAAAGCAGATTCTTTGACAGAATCAGGATTATTTGATTCAAAACCATCTCTAACAAGCCTGAAGCCAAATGTCAGTGGATCTGGCAGCAACACGTCCATGATTGATGTCTGTAGAGCAGCCTGGATAGCATCCTTGATATTTAACTCTCCGGAGCTATTGCGTCCTGAGTGCCAATGAACCTTAATCCTAGATACAAGATTCCTGATACAAGCATTGAGTTCGGCTTTGCTGCTCTTTTCAGAGAACGATGCAGTTCTTCCTCCACCAATCCCATCTGTTTGAGTGTCCTTTGTTAAAAAGGAATCATCAAGGACAGGTAATTTAAAATGCTCAAGAGGCACAAGAACCCTTGCTGAGCAATCTCTATCAATTCTTGTTTTAGGATAGCCATATTCTGTAGCATCCTGGTCAGCTAAATGATTGTCCTCGTTACTGTTCTCCAGTTTGACAGAGACATTAATTTCAAACACAACATCAGTTGGATTAGACAGCTCAAGTTCGAGAAAACGCAGTCCCCAGCTTCCTCTGAAAGGATCGATTTTCACCAATCTGTCCATTTTCAACTCCGAGTTAACATGTTCTCCGGTGGGACTATTACTTATATCATCAAACTTAGGAAGACTTTCACTAACATGAGCAGGAAATTCCATTGAAAGCAGCTGAGCCTTCACAAAAGACAAACCCTGCAAAACACAAATCTGCAGAGGAACAACAAGGCGTCTACCGGGGGATACAGCATTTGGATCTTCAGACGTTTTCAGTGGACCTGAAATAAATGTGGAAAGAGCCTTAGTGCCAGATATAAAAGAACTTGGCACAAGTTATTAATGGTACTCAGCAGCACAAAAAACCACCAAATGACAATGACAGAAATCTATATATTCATGTTATTGCAAATGTTAAGAATGCCAGAGTTCAACATAATATGGGAGCTGCATAAGGAACCTTATCAAATAGACATATTTCAACTATTTAAGATGATATTCGATTAAATGCAAGAGAAAAATGAGAGTCTAACAAAGGGGGGAGAGAAAGACATGGAAAAGTTGAAAAGGGGGCAAATCAAGCTGCACAAGGTAAATGAGTAAAATATTATAATCCAAAACAAAACGTTAGATCTGAATGTAATTCAATGAAAGGCATGCGGACTGAACTTCTAAATACATCATGAAAGCAAGGAAATATTATTATCCTGAAGACTGTACCAGCGTAGTGGATCAATAGCGATGGGAAACTTCCATCTTTGGAATGCCTTGCACTATCTGCGTCTGCCACGCTAACCTGCCAGGCTCGCAAAGTCACGGGGAATGTCACTTCTGCTCCAGGCTTTAGAGGGAGGCGAGATTTTAATGTTTCAGAAGAATATGAAATTACGGAATCTTGATTTTTTCCTGACAATGATATATGTGCTTGCTCAATAGGAACTGTGCCTGCATTAGCCAGACTTATCCACACATCACGAATTTCTCCTTCATACAAAATGATGGCCCCATCACCTCCAACAACATGTGATATCAGCAATGGAAGTGGCGGTACTACAGAAATACTTGGAACAGATACATTCTTCAACTTTGGAGATCCACAGCATCGGAAAGGGTCAGAAAGGACGAGCCCTTGTGCAGCCCCAAGAAGCAGATTATCGACCTCTCTAAACAGGTGTTCGGTAATAACACCAAAGCAATGAACAATACACCCAGGAATTGTAACTTGCCCCACTGACGTTGGAATGCCAGATAAGGTAATCACTTTTGAAGAATTTGGTAGAAGGCTTATGCTCACAGGAAAAGAATCAAAATTTCCTGAATGCACAGACAGATAGATGCTATCGACTCTTAAATCAAAGCCACATGGGTTTGCCAATTCCACTAAAACCTGGATCGGCTCTCCAACAATCCAAACAAGCTCTTGTTTCTTGATATTATTTGTATCTCCTTTACTGAATGGCGTGTAAATGAAAGGGCCCGAAGGAGCAGAACCCACCCACCAGTCTTCTCTAGCAGGATTACGTTTTATAATGTCCATTTGTCTTGGGTGGACAGGAAAGGAATGCACCCTGAAATTTAACAATTAAATTGCTTATTGTATTAGCTCTCCAAAATTAATTTAATTGACCAAATTAGCATTTGAAAAACTTGACCCAAAAGGAAAGATGAAAGAATATGACTTGGTCAGAACGAATTGCAGGGAAAAAATTCTGTATCCCAATAAATACCTTATAAAAGGTAAAGCAGGATCAGCACAACGAGTCCCTGATGGTAGCCTCTCAGACGAATTTGAAAGTGCATTAGCAAGGCCATTTTGCCCAGCGGGAGTTATTAGAGGATAGTAGGACCTAAGTAGTCGTGCCGCTGCACTCCATGCAGTTAGAGGGTCTCCAGCACGAACTGCAGAGAGCAGAATTTCTCTTAATACAACCATCTGGATGGTACTCCATTGAGACTCAAACAACGAGACAACTGATTGGTGATGTATTTTCCCACCATCAGCTTTATCTGATCCATTTCCCTTCTGTGAAGAAGCAACGGTTTAAGTTACATTTTTATAACTGGAAAAGTTCAAGCAGAGCAAAGAAAAATAAGAGAAGCAGCAACAGTTTACTATCTTAGCAACTAATAATTTCTAGGTTAAAAAAATGACAAATCAAAATTATCTCTCCAAGCCATAAAATGATTACATTAGAAACAAAAGAGGTGTTTTGATGGGTGAGGCATATACACTCACATTATGAATAGAATGATCCAAGATTGATGATCTACTTTGAACATGATAAGCTTTTGTGGTCATTGCCAAAACTTGCATCGCACTAATTGCAGCCAGCCTATTTTCTTGCTGCAAATATAACTGAGCAACCTGCCTTGAAAAGAAGGCGGCTTTTCTCTGGTATCCAAGACTGCCATACAAACGAGCTATTTCAATGTATAGTATGAGTCTATCACTTGCATCAATTAAAGATTTAGCACCATCTGCAGCTGTGGTCAACAACTCTACCACCTCCTTGGCCAGCTCTCTCCTGTTGATTAAAAGAACTCAGCCATAATTGCTTTGAAAATAATAAAAGTGAAACATATTGCTTGATATATGAATTCTTCTTGATAACAAACTAGTATAGATATTTCAAATCTCGTGTATACCAACTGTTTTGAGTAAACAGAAGCATGAAATTTAAAAACTCATGAAGCATCGTTCAATTGAAATGCTGGTCTAACTTTGAAAAGTTAAGCAATTGAAAATCAAAATTCATAATGGCTTAGACCCGGTGCATATATTGAAGAATATGATAGAGACTTGTGAATTATTAGGTGACCAAGTCCCGCACCGAGTAGTGTGGTGTGGAATGCTTAGTTGAGTATTTAAGTGACTTGGTTCTTCCCCCTAGATAGCTACTTCTCAAAATACTAAAGTTAATTTAAGTAAATATTCATAATGGGCATCAACATGGCACATTAATCATATTGCAAATCACAGCAAAGAAAGTACCTGCAAAGGAACCTCGCTAATTTCAAAGTAGCTTCAAGTTCAAAAGTTATGGGAGAAACTCTGCACAAAATAAATAAAACACTTAGGATTAACAAATAGAAATTGGAATAATTAGCACGAGGTGTAAATACAGAAGAGTAATATAACTACGCAAAGCACAGTTAAGCAATAGGTGTCGGGGAAATTGGTTAATGGAGGCTCAAAGGATAACTTCTTACCGCTGAGTATTATCTTGTGACTTCTTATAATTCAAGATGATGCTATTATAACGATATCTAACTTCATCCTCTAAGGCTGAATCTTTCTGGCCCCTTCGGTCAATCTGAAACCATAAAAATGAAAAGAAATAAATAATCAGAGATAGAGATGTGATCATGTGAGTGTAGACAAGAGTCAATGTTGACTTTCCAGGACAATTATGGTCTTCAGATGACTCATATCTATACTTCTATGTCATGCGACAAGCACTGCCACTACTCTCATTTTATAGAAAAACTAACTTTTTTACTGCAGATACCATGCAATGGCAGAAAAATGCCTATACAATGAATCAACAACAAATTATATATGCCATGCAATATTACCAAGTTCAATTAATTTCGGCCTAATCCCCATGCCCTTGCACTAATAACAATAACCACAATCGAAAGAAAAATTAAAAAATGAAGACAAGATCCGTATGATAGTCATATGAACATATAATCTTTCCCTTTTAAGAACCGAAATCTTGCTTAATTGGAGCAAAAATTAGGGGAGAGATTTTGGACATTGGAGCAAAAATTAGGGGAGAGATAATTTGTACTCTAGCCTACTAGTTCATGCTTTCTAAATGTATAATATATGAAATAAGTATTTGTTCATGCTTGTGTGCAAGTAGAAAAACAATTAAGCATTACAACATCAAGTTAACTTAAGTAAGTAGACAAATCAAAAAACCACTACGACCACATGTCTCGATCCATTCCAATTTGAAAATGCAAAACAAATCACCAAAGAAAAACAATATTTAGCATATATTTGGGTAAGTGTTTGACAGTCGTGATCAAGAATGAAAATAATTTTGTAAATTTGAGTTTAAAATGGAGTGGTTTATGCTAAAAATGTTTTCACTAAAAAATTCAAGTTTGAAGTGAAACTTGGTGTAAAGTTTTAACTTAATGCAAAAGATAATCTTTGTCATTTCTAGTCGAATCAAAGTTTGGAAGCAAGACAAACCTTGATTGAAAGTAACCACACATCTAGATGTTTACTGCAATCACATATGATAAGAGAGAGAAAACTCTCTACCATGAACTCAAAAACACATTTTGGATACAAATCATAGATGGGGTTCACAGAACCCATAGTGAAGAGAAGTTTCTACATATCCTCACAGTGGTTCACTAAGTCGAATGAAAAACACAACACATGTGGATTGCCTAACCATGCAGTCCACAATCTTTAATTATGTTAGATTGTCCGATGCCTATTCAAATTTAAATCAAACAGAGAGTGCAAGAGCAAAAAGAAAAGGAGAAAATAAATAAATATACCAGCAAGGCACAAACGCTACCCTCCAATGCTCCAGCATACCAGAAGTAATCCCCAGTCAACCTCCCAAGTTCTAATGCAGTAGAATAATGAGCATTAGCATCAACAGGAGTACCTGCCAGCAAGCAGTAATCACCAATGGTCTTTTGAGCACGCCCAAGTCTCCTCTTTTTGGCCTTGATAACCTGCAGTTCACACACAAAAATATCAATCAAATTGAACTTAGCAACAAGACCGCAGACCGAAAAAATCAAAATCCAAATCACAACATCACCCCAAAAGTAGTATTAAGAAAATATATAAAACAACAATAATAATAATCATGATTCATGACACCTAAAACATGAACACCTCCTCTGAGCTGAGACTAGCTTGAGAATCCAATGGCGTCTTGAGAATAGTTCCAGAAGACTCCGCTTGAAGAACCCATTTCTCAAACTCCATAAGCAAAGAAGCAGCTACTTCTTGCATCATAGTATTCAGATGAAACTCTAACGATGCACGATCTGCTGGAGGAAACAATCTCAAATTTCCACTTCTCTTACTTCCCTCATCGAGCTACAATTAAAAAAGCAACAACACAGATAATATAAGAATTTTCTTTTTCTATCCATTTCTAACCAAAATTTCCACACACAAAAAATAAAGTGAGAAACTAAATGAGAATGTTTCCTATTTCGATCCATTTCTCATGGAAATTAAATTACCAAAAATAGTGAAAATATAAATGAAAAAAAAAAGCACCTGTGAATCGTTAGGGTAAAAGGCGAAGCATCGTTCAACGAGCGAGGAAGGGTAAGATTTATACGAATTCGCAAATTGATCGACGACGGCATTGAGATCCGGCGAGGAAGGACAATGAACAATGCCGACGACAGCGAGGGTTTTACGGTGAGACTGGAAATCCTCCCATGGACTTGGAGTAGCACCGCCGAGAACGAATTTGAAGCGGAGAGTACCGGAATCCCAAGGTTGATGTGCGAACGGCGATTTCTGGTGCTCAGCGTAGAAGGAACTGATCGCGGAGAGAGGGATCGTGTGGAGCGGGAGTAGCATAGAGTAATAGTCTCGCAGTACGTTCGGCGGTATAGTTCCGATCGGAATTACGGCGACTTGGATCATGGATGATCCTTCGATGCTTACCTCCGGTTCCATGGTGATGCACCGTACGGTACCGGTTGGTTACTTGCTCTTTTATCAACACTCACTGGACTCTTTCTGGTTATGTTAAACAAGATCTAGAAAATGTAAAAGGATGGAAAATGAAAGGAAAGTCAACAAATTTTTTTGGGTAATTAAATGTAAACTATTTTTTTCATTAAATTGTGGTTAGTAATTTAAAATATCAAATGATTGACCAAAAAAATGCAACAGAATTGAATTATAATTTTTTTTAGTAAAAGAGTAAAAATTATTTATGTTATATTCCTTCTCAATTTAACTTTAATCAAATATATTGTTTTAAAATAAAATTGTTGTTGTTATCCCTTAATTTAATTTCAAATGAGTTGAATATTATTATATCCCTTCATTCATTTAAATATTTTTTTTTAGTTTTAATATTTGTATTTTTTTATCTCGGGACATAAACTTTTAAATAAATTTGCTTTTACCATTCACTTATAACCCCTCTAATTTAAAGATTTTTAATTTTTAGTTTTTTGATTTTAAAAATTAGCTTGTTGATCCCTCAATTTTATTTGGTTGAATCCCTCGAATTTATAGATGTGATAATGATGATTATGAACAAAAAAATATATTTTTAATGAGTTATAATATTGGTTAGGATAATTTTTTATTAATTTTTTTTAATTAATAAAATAATTAATTATTAATATTTGTAATTATATTTTTATTTTAAAATTAATTAATTAAAAGTTTTTAAGAAAACATATAAGATCTAACCTTTTTTATCCATAATCATTTGGTCTTTCTTGCTTCACTTTCAATTGTCTTAACATTTTAACTTGAAGTTCAAAGAGATTTCTCTTTGCTAATTTCAAGTGGATATAGTTTGGATTTTTTATTTCACTTATGTGTTTTACTTTAATTGCAACACTCTTGTCAACATTTGTATTGTTTATTTTGGAAACTAATTGCTTTTCAACACGCTTATAGATATAATCTTGGATTGTTCTGATGTTTAGGATTTACTTCACATACTTGTTTTTAGTTGGATTTAGTGTTGTTTACTTCACACGCACATCAAAAAATTTCACGTACTTATCCTCATTTGTAATGTATACCATGAATGGTATGATTGAAGGATGTTTCTTCATGAGCCATCGGTATGAGTATTGAGGTTGTTATTGTTAGATGATGGAAAACAAACTAATTTTGTACAAAAAAATATCAAGAACATATAAGTGTATTAGATAAATGCAATCCCAATAAAAATATGAAATAATGTGGTACCTACATGCTAGAATCAAGTATGATATCTGGTTAGGACCCACGTATTTGTACTCGACCAAAGCATCGCATGCAATATCTAGAAATGTTTCTCTTTAAGCAAATACAGATGTTCGTCTTTTAAACAGATACGTAAACGGTATACTTTTACTTCTATTATCTTTTTCGAAAATGATTGGCTTCCTAAGTGTACTTTACTCAGGCAAACACCAACATGACAACCTTCTTTTTAAAACATATATAAAGAATGACAAAATACCAACTATTGTAGCTAATGTGTGTCAAGGTGTTCTTCCATGATTTTCAGGATTTGATCACTTTTGTTACTATGTAATATCCCTTGATCTATACATGTCATGTCAATATTGGAATCTATTAGTGGTCATGGAAAATTTGCCTTGATTGCACTAAGAAGATCATTAGAATCTGAACCTGATTCACTAACAACTTTAAAAGAAAAAGGCTCAGTATTCTCTAGCACGAACTTGGAACTTGTTTCACCTTGCAAATGGTGTCAATGATATGGAAAGCATAGCAATAACAGGTGAAAATATGAGATGGAAAGCATAGCATAACATATTAGTAGCATGTGAAAATATGAGATGGAAAACATAACATAGTAGTAGTAGATGGTGTTTCTTAGCAGTTTCACATTATTTTCATTACAAATGTTTTTAGAGTTTATATATCTTACACAAACACAACTAGTCACTTGTGGATCGGAGAGATGGACCAAAGACAATGGCCAAAAAGGCTAGGCCCGAAGTATTTTATTTAAAAATTTTGGTTAATTGATTATAAAGACTTAATCAAAAATATAAATAATTTGTTTATTTATTAATTAAAATGATAATAAATTAATTATCCTAATCAATATTGTCGGCTCATTTAAAATATATTTTTTGTTCTAATCATCATTGGCACGTATTAAAAATTGGAGGGTGACCAACAAAATTTCAAGTGATGTAAAGTTGAGGATCAAAAAGCTGATTTTTAAAATGAAGAGACTAAAAATTAAAAATCATTAAAGTATGGGGGAGCAAAAGTGCATTTAAGTAAAAAAAAAATTAATATCTTCTCTTACCTCTTAAAAACTACAAATTACAAATATGTTATTTAGATTTTAATTCTAGAATGATCATGTAATCAAAGAAACTCTCCTTTTTTCCTTTCTTCAACAATTAAGTTTTTACGATCTCAAAATTTGAACGTCTCACTTTACTTCATTTTAGACTAAATATTACTCAAATTTCCCATTGTTTTCCTATTTTAAGACACGTTAGTAAACATTGATCACTTGATTTATGTATTACATTTTTTATGTTACTAATGTTGTTTAGATTGTAGAATTTGGACACGTCTCATACTTGTTTCCAAATTACAAAAATCAAACATACCATAAGCATGTCTTTAAATTACATTTTTCAAACCATGATAGTATATAGTGTTGAAGTTAGATTTAATTTTTTTTTTGTCAAATTGACTAATTGGTTTCTTTTTTTATTAGTAATGGACTAGATCAACATGTTAAGGACCCGTACCAAAGAAAAATGAGAATTTGTTACTACCTCTGCTAGTGCGTGTAACATATGTGTTTATAAAGTTTGACCATACAAGCCACAACCTGAGTCAGAGGTCGAGGAGGTTGAGATGGAATTGCTTTATGTATAGGCGCCTAAGGTGTAAGTGCCTGAGAAGCAGGAAGTCAAGGTCGGGGTATATCCAAGATGTCCACTTATGACACATTTCTATTGTGTTATTATGGGGAGCATGTGGTAAAAGATAATGAGAGGGAAATGTGTGATATCTCTATGATGCATTGCATTATGTTTCATTATTATTTATGTTTATTTTACTTAATTTTATTATTATTATTAGTTATGTGTTAGGTACCTGAAATGTATCAACAACTAAAAAAAGATCATCACCTTTATGACTCGTGAAAAGGACTGGTTCACTAATGTCATTCAAGGTAGTCAGCTAGTCGACCTCGCCGCTACTAAGTTCAACATACTTGAATTTGGATTACTAACAACTTTCTTAGAGAGGTAGCACGAGAAGATGAGCTTATTCCACCTTTTAGTTGAGAAGATGACAAAGACACTTGAGGATGTGTCATGTCTTATGCATCTCCTTATACATGGACATATCTTTCATCATACGATAATTATTAAAGATAAAGAAGCATATTTGTTTTTAGAGTTCCTTGGATTAGACTAAGGTCTATAAAAATTGAGGGTGACATCGTCAAAGCTCAACTTTCTTAAAAAGGAGTTTCATAGATACATGTTAATTATGAGTATCACATATGATGAGGGTGACATCGTCGAAGCTCATATTGGCGACAATGATGTATCTCCTATTTCTAATGGTCTCGACCATTTACCCATGGAAGAACACCAATTAGACACACCTAGTATTTATCTAGTTTTAAGATACCTAAAAATGATGGATGACTGTATTTGGGGGACTATAGCATTGGATTTCTTGTATAAGGAGTTAAATGTTATGACGGAAAGCAGGATGAAGCAAACAACAAAATATATGATATTGCTTTAGGTAATATTTCCATATAATCATTTCATTAACTATTCAAAATCAACTAGTATGCCATATTGCTTATTTATTACTAACTTACATTGATGAAGGCATTGAATTATCACAAAATTAAAGGTATTAATCGGCGGGAGTTTGACTAGGGGTACATGAATATGAACCTCATGTTAATGTCTTCATTTTGACGAAGGGAAACCCTACTACATATCCATATAGAGAATGCCTAATAATGGGGGGTGTTCGAGAGCTAAAGCATTCACATAGTCACACACGCATTGGATGACATATGCTTCTTTTATGGTTGGATTAGATGCATATCATGTAATGTTTGGTACCCGGATAAACAAATATTGTGCCACTACAGGTATATGTAGGATATTCACAAACATCTTATTGTCTTTACTCAACATATTATGAGTTAATCCCAGATTGATCAGAGGTATATTAAGTATTTGGATTATATTTTGTCCTGTGAGGATTGAGACACCCAGATCATCCATCGTTGGAAAACTATACAAGGATACACTGAGTGGTATTGAAGGATGTCACATCCCGGCATGATTCTCACGTCGGCGGGTCTGACACCTATATCAACTGGAGAATAAGTCATTATATAATAGGTAAATAAGGGTGGCAGTATGGGTAGTTTGGTCCATACGCAAACATTTGAGACGTGATTGTCATGTTACTCTCCTATGGGAACATATATGAGGATCAAATGTCAACACGATTTTCTAGAGGATTTAAGGGAGCCAAAGCTTTATTTTTGATGAAGAGGATGAAGATGAGGGTCAATTGTTCTTGTGCGAGGCAATGTAATGCATTTTTAAGGATTGTTTCATTTGGACGTAATTGTGTGTACAATATTATCATGTAGTCGACTTCACATGTTACAATGTATATGATTTTGGATTTTTTTTTCTTTCAAATTTTTTAATGTTATTATTTATGTTTGTGTAAAATATGTTACTATTAAAGAAATGCACCATGATAATGTAACATGTAATTTCATGTTCTATAATATGAACTAATGGTAATGGGTTTTCAGTGGAGTGTTAATTAAATAATTTGAACTTGTGCTTAGGTTTTTATTTTGGCATAGTCCATATTTGATAATATGAAATATGTTGTTGAATTCTTTTGTATGGTATAGATTGCGCCGACATTTCATATTAACTATAATGTAT